CCCCACCCCTTTCCTGTAGCACCCTTTAAATACTGGAAGGCCGCTATCAGGTCTCCCCGAAGCCTTCTCTTCTCCAGGCTGAACAACCCCAACTCTCAGCCTGTCCTCACAGGGGAGGTGCTCCAGCCCCCTGATCATCTTTGTGGCCTGCTCTGGACTTGCTCAAGCAGGTCCATGTCCTTTTTTATGTTGGGGGCCCCAGAGCTGAATACAGGAGTCCAGGTGGGGTCTCACAAGAGCAGAGTAGAGAGGGAGAATCCCCTCCCTTGACCTGCTGGCCACACTTCTCTTGATGCAGCCCAGGATACAGTTGGCTTTCCGGGCTGTGAGTGCATGTTACTGGCTCATAGTCATCCATTAATATCCCCAAGCCCTTCTCTGCAGGGCTGCTCCCAATCCACTCACCACCCAGCCTGTATTTGTGTTTGGGATTGCCCTGACCCATGTGCAGGACCTTGCACATGGCCTTGTTGAATTTCATGAGGTTCACACGGTCCCACCTCTCCAGCCTGTCCAGGTCCCTCTGGATGGCACATCCCTTCCCTCCAGCGTGTTGACCGCACCACACAGCTTGGTGTTGTCAGCAAACTTGCTGAGGGTGTGCTCAATCCCACTGCCCATGTCGCCAACAAAGATGTTAAATTGCGCTGGTCTCAGTACTGACCCCTGAGGAATGCCACGTCACTGCTCTCTACTCAGACACTGAACTGTTATCCACAACTCTGAGTCCATCCAGCCAATTCCTTAACCACTAAATGATCCGTCAAATCCAATTTAGAGAGAAGGATGTCATGCAGGACAGTGTCAAATGCTTTGCACAAGTCCAGGCAGATGACGTCAGTTGCTCCTCCCTTATCCACCAACGCTATAACCCTGTCATAGAAGGCCACCACACTGGTCAGGCATGACTTTCCCTTAGTGAAGCCATGTGGGCTGTCACCAATCACTTCATTTTCTAGGAGGATCCACTCCATGATCTTGTTGGGCACAGAGGTGAGACTGACTGGCCTGTAGTTCCCCAGGTTTTCCTTTTTTCCCCCTTTTTAAAAGTGGGGATAACGTTTCCCCTTTTCCAGTCAGCAGGAACTTCACCAGACTTCCATGATTTCTCAAATACGATGGACAGTTGTTTAGCATCTTCACCTGACAGTTCCCTCAGGACCCACAGATGCATCTCATCAGGTCCCATGGACTTGTGCACCTTCAGGTTCCTTAGATGGTCTCAAACCTGATCTTCTCCTACAGTGGGTGGTTCTTCATTCTCCCAATTCCTGCCTTTGCCTTCTGTGCCTTGGGTGGTGTGGCTGGAGCCCTGGCCAGTGAAGACTGAGGCAAAAAATTGAAGTACCTCAGCCTTCTCCATATCCTGGGTAACCAGTCTCCTGCTTTCTTCCAGAGAGGGCCTATGTTTTCCCTAGGTTTCTTTTTATCACCAGTGTACCTGTAGAAGCTTTTCTTTGTTGCCCTTGATGTTCCTGGTCAGATTTAATTCAATCAGGGCTTTAGCTTTCCTAACCTGATCCCTGGCTGCTCGGAGTTTCTGTCTTGCTCCCAGGCTCTCTCCTTGCTTTCACCCTCTGTAGGCTTCCTTTTTGTGTTTGAGCTTGTCCAGGAGCTCCTTGTTCATCCATGCAGGCCTCCCAGCATTTCTGTCTGACTTCTTTGTCAGGATGCATTGCTCCTGAGCTTGGAGGAGGTGATCCTTGAATATCAACCAGCTTTCTTGTTTCCCTTTTCCCTCCAAGGCTTTATCCCATGGTACTTTACCAAGCAGATCCCTGAAGAGACCAAAGTCTGCTCTCCTGATCCCTGAAAAGGCCAGTTTATGCAGTGTTTCAGTTACAGAGTTACAGAGAGAGCTATACTGAATGAAACACTGGTTGTACAAATGAAAAAGGTTACACTACATATTGGCATTCAATTTAACTTGACTTGAATGCACTATGAATGACATTTTTTTCCCCTCAATTTGTAAACACAAAGGCCCCATGCTAATGACTTTCCTGAACCATACCTGATTTTGGTTTTGAAGAGAACAATAATTCCACTTATTTCCAAAATAGCAGTGAATTACCAAAAATTTGCTACCCAATGTACTTAAAGTGAAATTTAAAAAGAATTGCATAAGTGATATTCATCCAATAATTCCAAGTCTCAAAAAACTATGCTACAACTACTTTTAAGGGAAATTTTCAGCACTGTGAAGTCACAGAATCTGGCCTGTGCTTGATATATCCATTGTTATGTAAAACTTTTAACCAAAGAGACAAGGACACTTCCCTATTTTTCTACCTCTTGCCAAATACTATTATTCTTGAAAAGCTGATAGAGCAACCATGTGGTGGTTAAGATCCACAAACCACATCCCCAAATGTCTGACACACAGTAGAGCACATGAAATACTTCTGCAGGTGTCCAGGTCCATCCACCCACTGATGCATTTTGGGCACTGTATATCCTTGCCAAATGCAAAATCTGATTGAGAAACGTGAGTTACTTGACACTGAAAACCGCATCTCTTTGTATCGAATATCTCAGGTTATTCCACTAGATTCAACAGAAGAAAAGTGTTCCTGATCACGATAAAAGCCACTATCAAGTAGCAACAGATTATTTCATTACTATTGTAATTAGGATCAGTCAAGAAATAGGATCAGAACTTGAACTCCTTTCATAATTTAAGACATATAAGCGGTTACATGAATCTCAAGTTGCCATTAGGAAAAAGGCACTAGAAAAGCTGTGCTAGCAACTGAATACAATGTCACAAGAAAAGTGTTCTGCATTCAGTCCTTGCTCTTTTTCCCTGTCAGCAATCCATTATCATTAGCTATTCCAGTATTTCATGACATTTGATTTAATTACTGTGATTAATGAAATTTTAAGGAACATGTTGGTTTGCATTAGCTCTCATGTTTCCCACTTTTTACTTCCTTCCCAATTCTTGTCTTTCAATTAAATTTTTTCCTCTTGTCTCATTTCTCATTTTCTTTCCAATCACGTCTTCCCTTAAACACTGTAACATTTTACAATGAATTTTCACAGGAGATGAAAAACTGAGGAATCTCATATTCCTTAAACATTAAATTAATATAAAAACTGTCTAAAATTCTATGTGGGTAAAAAAAAAGCCAATCTGCAATCTAGAATACTTTTGTTGCAGTGGTGTTGGAGCCAATAAACTTTTTTTTTTTAAAATCACTGCACAGATACAGACTAGCTTGTACAGTTCTAGAGGGGCAAGAGTAATCTACCCAATGCAGCTTCTATTTAACAGAAACCAAGCAGCTGACATTTCAGTTCTTGAATTTCAGTGTTAAAAGGGAGAAAACCAATTGAAGCCAAACCAGAAATATTCCAAAGAGCAAGGCTTGGGAGAAAAAATAAAGCAAATACCTTGTTTAGTGTAGTTGTTTTCTTCCTTCAGCTATACATGAGTAACTTCCTCTTACAATAAGAGCACTGTATACGCATACACAGAGCACTTTTGTTATGTCCTCCTACCCCATCCCAAATTACAGAATATGTACATAATGTTTAAAGGTAAATTTGGCAGAAAAGTATCATTTTTATGATCTGTGCTAGGCGTACATCTCTCCATCCGTAATAGATCCAGAAATGAAGAAATCCAAAATGAAAATAAAAAACAACAAACCAGGTCAGCATAGTGACCAGCTGCAGAGGCTTACCGACACTCAAGCAAGAAATCTCTGAAGAATATTGAAGTATTTAAAAATATTAGCTCAGTTTTCTGGTTACCTTGAAGATAAAGAGGAATCTTTATCTAAAAGACCATCATAACAGAGATAAATACTGGGGTTGAATATCATCATATTTTGGGAAAAAGGAAAAAACAAACCCCACACAACAGGTTATCCTTTCTGTAATAAAGAAATTACTACATTATAGCTATGTAAAGATTTAAAAACAATGCATAACCATTCAAATTGTATTTATTTAATTAAACTGTAATGCAAATAAATTAGGTCCATATAAACTCCATTTTGCTGTATGTAGAACCTTATGTCATTAGCAAGCTGATTGAGCCAGCTGGTATAAGTGTCCACCTCGTCCTCTGGAATGCTCGTATCTTCAGACACTTTCTCTGTCCATTGGCTGGTTCTAGAACAGGACCACCACATCCTTCATCCCCAAAGTAGACTGAAAGGGGAAGGGGGAGGAAACCAAAGTCAGATTCGCATGTACTTGTTTTTAAATGGGTATTTGTAAAACACAAGTCTGGAGCAACAGCCCTGTAGATGTACAGAATAAATGCTAGCCCCCAGAAGACTGAAACAATGCCACCTTTAAAGTAACATTTAAGCCTACAGAGCATGAATATGTGTTAAGAAAAATCAGTGTCTGTAAGCTTCGGATTAGGCCAAGCTTCTGGTATGTATGTATATACACTCCGGTATGAAATACATTATGCTGGGCAGAGACACACTCAATGGATCAAGAAAAAAAGTCTCAAACTGCTAGTGAAGCTAAACATAGAAACACTGTCAGCAAGCAAGCAACTCTAGCAAGTCAGTTCTTAAGACAACAGAAGATTTTACTAAAACTGTAATCTTGATGATTTTTTTCATATTTTCTCCTGCTAAAACTAGCTTCCTTGAATCACTGAATCCTAAAAATGGGATTTCTGTATATTGTGACTGTGTTAAGCTAGAAAAGTTAACATAGGACTTTGCAAATACTGTCTATCAATTATTTGTCTTAGGAATACCTGGTTCTGCATAGTAACCAAAGTTATTTCAAGAAAAATAAGTCACGCTTTCTTCAAAACTTGATTAGTTTGACCCATAAAAGCCCTCCATCAAAACTCAAATACCACAAGAATTCAAGTATTAGTAATGCCATGACATTGCAGCACTAACAGTCCCACAAGAGGCAACATGAACAAATGCACTTTTTTTCATGACAATGACTGATACTGAAGGATATAGCCCTTTGTTTCATGCAGCTTTTATGCAGCGTTATCATATTTGCAAAGGCAGAAGACAGTTTTGTTTTAAATTTGTGCTAGAAAGCTTCCTCAGTGCAGAAACTGGCATAAACTAGCTCTACAACAGATTAGAAGGGTAGCTTCCACTCAAAAGGTAAAGGAAGTCCCATATATTAAAAGCCATGCAAGATTAAGAGAAAGGCCCTCCCAAGAACTTGTGTTCTTCTGTCTTTTAATTTGGATTTCTAAAGAAATGAGAACCACAGCCAGCTATGCTTTCATTCTGCACAATTAAAAACAATGGATGGAAGCAACCTTCCCAGCTGTTGCTGTCCAGAGGTAACACCTAAACCAGTAAGTACCTGTACCGAGTTTGCATGTACATTTGGAACCGATACATACCTCCAGATAGTTGGCTCAGGCATTCCAGGATCTGCACCTCTCTTAAAACCTGAAGTGAAACACATCACATACATATATATAAAAATATGTATGTTCAGACTCCCACATCGTTAAATCCCTATCAAATTATTCCAGCCCCCTGAATTGCAATAAAAAAGAAAACGTATTGAGCAGAGAACTGTGATTCATGAAGTTGCTTACAAACATGAATAAAAACTGCACATTCTTATCAGGCTTAGAAAGTAGAGAAAATAAATAAATGTGTACAGTTTTTTATTTTTTTTTTCAATTCTTAGCTGCATCTTTATCCACCCCAAAGATCAAGACATAGATACCTACACACACAAACATACAGATTTTAAATGCTGTTCAGAAAGTAACCTAGTAAAGCTGGACCAACAGCGACACCTGTAACTGGTGGAAGTGAGCACCTTGAGTCCTAACAGGCAGCGTTCTGCAATGACATCTGATGCAGAACTTAAAAGTAGTATTTCAACAACAGTTCACTCAATTTAGGATGACAGAATTCTAAATGTTAAATCAGTTAAACCTAAAATCTTCTATTTTTACCGGCATATTTTGAAAAGCTACCTATTACTAAAGCTTGCAAAGAAACAAGGTGTTTGTCAATCTACACCCAGGAATATGAAAAAAAAAAAAAGCTAATTACAAAGAGTTCATCCCCAGCTAATGACTCAAATACCAATTCACTAAAGTAAATGTATGCTAGAGAAGCAATATAAGATTCAGCGTATGAAATATCTTTGCCTACTGTACCACAAGTTAAAAAGTCTTAAAGCGGAATCATGCAATGCATGCACTGCTCAACACACTCTCTCCTACACTTGTTATCTAGAAATAGATGTTACATGAAAAACAGATTATTTCCCTCGTTTACAGAAAATAAATCCTTAATGTCAGTTTGCCTGAAACACAGGCCATGAAGGTTAATGGAAAAACTTCTATTAACTTCATGGGCACTGGGTTAGCTCTTTTGAAGATAACCTTGTGTGGTTTGAGACTATTAAACATCCTGACCCACTTTCTTTGGTTGACATACTGTCCAACAAAACTGCTATAAAATTAATGAAGCTGTATTAGGAGTCACACTCAGTATGTGAACGTTTCTGGCTTTTTCTACCCCTAGTAATTTTAAATAAGCAAGCCAGGTTTAACAAAATTACACTGGTCTAATTTACCTATTTAAAACAGGGGCATTCACTTCAAGGTAAGTTTAAAAAAAAAACAAAAACACAACAAAAAAAAACCCTGACCAGTGACCCATAATTGGACAGTCACATACCATGCTCCCTCATACATCCTCTGAGCATTCCATCTTTGCCTAGAAAGCTTTTCAGATCAAGTTAAAAGCTCAAAAATTCTGGAAGTTTCCTTGCTTGTGTTTAGTTTAAAGTGTTTTTTCATATACACAGGGGTCAATAGAAAAGTCTACCTTGAATCAGTGACACCAAGGACTGCGTAGTCGCTTGCCCTGTCACTGCATCACACCTTCCCTCCCAGATTCAAATGTAATTCCAGTACAAAGAGGTTCTTCCAAGTCTGTGGCGTCTGAGTGCGTGCCACCTCCAAGCACCTATGGCAAGCAAAGGTAGCACCTGCATGTCCCCCTCCCATCTGCTTACACTTAATGTCCTTTCATTACAGCACATAAATTTATAAGGCAGCTGTGTAGATTTGGAACAGTAGACTTCTTTTCTGGAAATATGACATTAAACTACAACTTAAGTTTCTCACCTCTACATAACAGAAATATACTAAGCACCCTGATATCAGTGCAACTATAAACACAATAAGATGACTTTGTATGACTCTAACTTATTTCATTTTCTCTGGTGTCCCTCAGTACAAACAGCACCATTCCCACATTCATAGATACTGTCATGGGAGTAAAATCAAAACACAACTTCAGCAAAAGAAAAATTAGGTCACAAAACATTGCTCAAATTCCCACCCAAAAATTATCAATTTAAAGTAAGTGATAAACTAAAAATGGAAATCTAATTAAAGTTTAAACCTAATATTGATGATTATGGGTTTTTTTCATAGTGTTTGATGTGACCTCTTTCACTTGTAGTTGTTAAAGCATGCATGTAACTACTGAAGGACCAACTTTCTCCTGATTGTTATCTATTATTTGGACAAAGCCCTTCAAACTGGACGCTGTATTTCTCTCAATCAAAACAAGAGATCAGCTCCCAACCCTCCTTCATGTTTGCATTCAAGGCAGAGATGCCTGCCTGTTTCAGATGCTTTTCCCAAAAGGCACAGCAGAGTTGGGGCAGAAAGAAAGTCAGATGAACCGCGTGGATTAGCCTTCCCGGGACCCCTTATCATAAAAGATGTGAACAAAAGTGTCAGGCCTACTGCACACGTGCGTATCTTAAGTAGGTCAGGCTCTTCGACAAGGACTGCTGACGGCATGCAGCCCAAACCCAGAAGAACTACCATGTGGCTGCGATGCCCAGCCAGCCCCATGTCAGGAGCAAATGAAATACACCCTGGGCGCCAGGCATGACACAGGATTGTCCTGCGCTGTGGCGTCGGCCTCGCAAATCGGGAGCGACGGACCCAGGCCGGCTCGCCAGAATCGGGGTGTTTGCTCGAGGGTGAGGGGGTGGCAGAAGCTGTCGGCCTTCTTCATCTGTCTGTAGGTCCTGCATTTCTGTGTTTGTGTTTCTTTCCCGGAGCTCGCAAGGTATGCGCACGCTTTTCACGCCGCCTCTGGAGGCGAGGAAGTGCCTTTTGGTAAGTGAGAGATGGAGCGATAAACGTTTCTGGGTGAAATTGGAAAGTCCTCTCCATCTTTGGTACCAGACTGTGCGATGTGTTCAGTCTGTGGAAATGCAGAGTTCTGGGAGTGAAAGCTTGACTAGAAATATGGGGGGAGGCATTCTGGCTTTTTACCCTAATATCTAAAAAATGCCACTTAGGACTTGTCCTTACAAAGTCTGAACCTGGATAAGTACTGAGGCACTTTCTTTTCAAACAGATAAATGAGTGGTCTCAGCAAGAACCCCCTGTAGTGCCCTAACCACCAAGCTGTTGTCTGTTTGACACCACTGCTTACGAACAGCTTGCTGCATGATATCTGTGCCATTGACTCAGCCAGTTATATCATATTTGTACCACATTTTCATTCTTTCTCAGGTGGTCTGCTGCCATGACAGATCCAGGTCGTCGGGTTCCTGGGATTACTAATGTGGCTGCAGTATTTAACATTGGCAGTCTGTATCATATCTGCTAGCTGTGTCAAACTATACGGAAACACTGAAAAAAGTTATTAAAAATCACTCCTTCTGACAGTGCAGAAATCTGCTCAGTCTTGTTTGTGTGTAGCGAGTAAATCATGACCATAAAGTTCTACACATGATGTTTTGGTTTGCCTACGGCAATTACTTGAAGTTCTATTTCCATGTTGTCATACAGATCAGTGCTTTCAGATCCAAAAAGGAATCCAGGGCTACAATAAATATCACTTATACAGATACATCATTTCTTCTTCCAATGTGTGGATACCTGCTGTGCTATTCTAAGATGATCAAAATAGGAAGTGATAGCTTGCTCCTTGCTTTTCAGGTGTGGACAGGTAGCAACCTGCAAGCTGCATTGAGGGATTCTGGCAGCCCATGGCTTGCTTTTGTCATGGTCCACCAATAATCAAAATGTGAGGGATAAAAGAGTATTTTGGTGATGTGATATCACAAATATGCTGCCATGTTACAGAATGCACAAATGGCCCTTCCTCATGTAAAACAGCCATATGTAGTGTGCTTTCATATGCATTAAACATGTTGATGGGATACATGAGTATTTCTAGTCATGGGATTGACACATATTTAATGTTGTCTATCAAGTAATGCGAAGGCTTAGAGTTCGTGAGTGGCTTCTTTATGAACTGAACAGCTTGTCCCTAAAGAAAGGTTAGGCACCAGTGCTGTAGTTCATCAGCAGATGAACATCAGTATGAAGCTTGGAATGTGAGCCCACGCTTTTCCCAAAAGAATATGCCTTCATGACAAATGGCGCATGATGCAATCATATGTCATATTTTCTTTATACATTCTCAACCGTTAGGGGCAACAAAGTGGGCTCCACAAAATGACACAATAATGGAAGCACATTTTATGTCAGTTGACTTCATACTGAGTTAGTTTTGCTTGATGTTTTTTCAACAACTTGTTTTGGCTTACTCCATTCTTTCTGCAGCTGGTAAGATGCTGGGATAGGCAGAAAAATACAGGGTAGATATCTTAATTTTGCTTTAAAAAATAAAAGTGTTCCCAGTATCATCTTACAGGTAGGGCTTTTCCCAGGTCATTGTTTAGCAACCAGGATGTTGTTACTTGAAAGTAATACCTCCAGATTAATGGAACACTTCAAGTAACAAATCTAGAATTTATGGAACATACTAATGAACACTTTTCCGTGGCAGGCTTAGGCAACTAGTAATATAAATAATCCATAAAAGGCAGAGCTGCCTCTGAAGTGCTGTTTTCTCTTGCTGTTCTCTAGTATTAATGGTGAGTTTATACTTATCAGTGTCGCATATTCCTACTTTGTCATATCTGGCCTGGTACTTGTGCATCAGTGGATTGCTGTACTTCTGCTCCTGAAATTGATACCGTGTAACTATTAAACTATTTTTCGGATAGTCTGCTGTTTGAGCTGGGAACTCTTAACTTGAAATTGAGGGAACAAGTTTTTCTATCCATAGGTTTGCATTAGCTTTTGGTTGTTTTGGTATATTACTGTTGTCAAACTTTGCAAACTAGTACTCATGAGTAAAGTTGTACAAACATTTAAATGACAAATTTACTATTCTGAACAAGTGTAGTGCAGGAGGCACATTCGTTTGTCAGTAACGGCTTGTCATACTCTTTTAAAAAAGAAAAAACTCAAACCAATGAACCTTATTTTCTGACCCTTGCGAAGGAAGAGAAATGGTTGCTGCAGGAACCTATTTTCCATCAGTTTATATTAAATTGATTTTCTCTTGTAGATGACACTATCAGATCTGTTTCCACAATGTTACAGCTTGTTCTTTCTAAACATACAAACCCAACTGTTCATTAGGGCACACATCTTGTCAATAATCTCTTACAAAATATTACAATAAGTTGTGACCCACTGTATTAGAATTAAATTTAAAAGGTATTTTCCTTAAATTTCTTGTAATTTTAGTGTAAGTGGGATTCAGAAGGTCAAATGTACTAAATGACGATCAAAATGGTTCTGTCTTTTGTTTGA